TAACGAGCACATCAAAAGAGGCAGCCTAAGTTATACTGAAGAGCAGGAAACAGACTGGTGAATGAGTTTGGAACATCACAGAGCAAGCTATGACACGAGTCACATAGGGTTTGAGAATACTGTGGAAATAATACTGATGTGATAGTTGTTGATTTAAGGAACTTTCTCGATTTAGGCATCATGATTCAGGTGAATGGTTGGCCCTTAAGACCACTCACACAGACTGGCCAAGCCCAGGTGCAATCCAAGCTCAAGCCATGCGCTTTTTCTGCTACACCGGATGTTCTCACTGTCTCCATGCATTCCCATGTATACGTTTAGAGTTATTTTATGGTTCTATTTTTCAGTCCAAGGTGATTTAGAGTTTTTTTCTGGACAATTGTTTGAGCTGTGATCCGAGCTGTCTGTGCTACATGCAGGACTGTGGGAAGAGCAATAAAAGCAGCCTTAATGCTGCAGCACATTCACTCTCATCTTTCCTGGAAGAGTAACGAGTTGTATTCTGAGTAAGGATCTCTAACTGGTAAATGAATATTATCACCTGAACAAACTTCCATTTCATGAGCTTGAGAGAGGATGAGACGAGCATTAGGACAAAAGGTCAAATCAGAGCACAGTTAACTTCCACTGCAGAAAAAGCTCAAGTCTTTTCACAACTGTGGCTGGAACATTTGCAGCAGGTCAGACTTGATTAAGTGAATGATCTAAACATGAGTTTCAGCAGCTCCAGGGAAATAATTCAAGGCCAGATTTGAGTTCAGTGAAATCAGCAAGGAAATTCTCAGGTCTTCAGTGCTGAGAAAAAACAATTACTTTACTTATTATTTTGAAAGAGTGAACATATTGTTCCACCACCATATGCAAGAAAAAGTTAAAAAGATAGCCATTCCACAGATTCAAATGGTATTTTTTAAAAAAAATAGAAACCAAACATGAAGACAAATTCCATTCTTTATACACCAGAATGGTAGGTAAACAGATGAGGGCTCAAGTCAGCCCACAATATATACACACACCTACACATATACACATATCTGTAAATATTAGAAGTAAATAATAAATAAATAAATAACCCAATAAATCCTTGGGTTTCATTTTTCTCTCTCTAAGTTACATTAATAAATTAATAATGATGGAGCTTCTTGGATAGGGAAGACTGCCTGGTATGGCAACTTTGGCTTTTAATAATTTATTGTGTCTTGTTTATTCCCCACCTTAAAGCTGCCTGCTATGSAATAGCCTTTATCTAGAAGGCATTTAATAGCACATTCCTGCCTACTTTAAGAAGTAAAAAAAAAATCATATAGATAGCAAATCCAAAATGATCAGCGTCCAAAGCAGTAGAAGAAGGGATTAATGTATTACCCTATCCACTTCTTAACATACTGTTCTTCCTTGGGCAAGGCATTTTTCAGAACAGTGTTTGTAAAGTCTTGAATGCAAGAGTACATCACAGTCATGATAAAACCAATTAGGCTAAACTAGTATTAATATTATACCTAAAAAAGGAAATTCAATATCCAGTTACTAAAATTTATAAAGTGCAGTGTTATTGGCCATTCAGTAATTTTAAAATCTTGTTGAAATAAGAGGAAAAACTTCTCTGGGAGTAAACTGGTCTAATGACTGAATTTTAAAATATGCCACTTTTTCCAGGTCTGAATATCTGCCTGCATTTTTTCTCATCAGCTAGAGCCAAAATACAGTACTTTGATGGTAGATGTTCAGTTTCAGCTTGGAAAATATTATTTTATTTGCACTTACCTCATTAAACTACAGAGACATCTTATAAAAAGTAGGCAAATATGTTTCCCAAATGTTTCTGTCTGTCAGAAAGTTATGCACTCATATTCCTTTTATAGCACTGACACAGAGTAATAACAGGAGAAGTCATAAAAATGTCAGCCATTGCAAGATGCCATMGGGAGCACTTGGAGCTGGGATGCTGAGGTGACCTGGCTGAGGCTCAGTGTGCAGCCACTCTGTGCCAGTCAGCAGCCAGGACACTCCAGAGGCTGGAACCCCTCGTTCTTTACAACCCAGGGGCAAGGGCTGGTAAAGAGATACTTCCATGTTAATTAAATGAAAACCGATTTCCACTTTTGATTCTTAAATGATCAGCTATTAATTTTTAATTGGTGTGAATAYAAGAACTTGACTCTTTGATTCACTGCAATCTGCCATCCCCTGAGGGGTTTTGTGGGATTTTTTTTTTTCATTTCTTCCACAGTTTACAGCTTGCCTCAGTATAGTGATGCATTATACTATGAAATGGTACAATTTAATTTAAAGTGGAACTGACATTATAGCTTGAGGATTAAAAAGACTGAAGTGTTTCATTAAAAACATTGGAAAGCCTGGAATGATCAAACTGCAACACAGTCTACAGAAGAAAATGTTATTTTGGATCTAGACTGGGATCTGTCTACTATCTAGCCTGGGCCTTTGGATCACCTCTTGCCTGACAAACTCATAAAAATCTATCTGACCCTGAAAGACAAACTCCAAAATATTTGATGAGTTCCTCTTCATCTACTTGASCCCATTTCAGTGGCTGGGATGCTTGTGACTTTTAAAACTTTACTGARGAAATGACTCAAACCAAAAACCTTTCTCTGTGTTTGAATTTGACATTGTCCATCCCAGACTTTGTTAACTGGAAAGCTTTTAAAGCTCTAACTTAATGCTCTGTAAGAGGAAATGAATCCATAAACCCACATTAGAACGAAGGACAGGCACATTCAATCAATATATCCAAGTGCGCCAAACTTGAATAATTTAAGCTTCCTCGTCCTTTGACTCATCTGTATAAAATACATTTTGATTCTTTGAAAGAGTTCTTTCCATACGTGGACTAAGGAACAGGTGCAATCAACAGCATCACCAACAACAACAAAAAAATGCAGTGTTTTCTGGAATTTCACTAAAAATCAATTGTTATTGCTAACAGAAATTTTATGTTTTTCATAGAATTTTCACGCAGCAAAAATACCGAAAGTACACAGTTTCCTAAGGTTCACTGAGCAGCAGTAGATTTGACCTTGAGCACAAATACAGTCAATCAGAACATCAGATAAAACAGTGGACTCAAACTTATTTAAGCCTGTGAAAACACAGATATGCTTGTAAATATAGTTGAAAAACCAGTCCTTTGAAAATTATATAACCARTTGTGTTAATTATTACTTCCAAAATTCAACACACAGAATTTTTTAATGGACTTGAAATATTATGTAATGGTATTATGAAAAATAAGCTTTTGTCAAGAAACTTGTCTTTTACTATTCTGTCTTCCTGTTATTTCAAATAATGAAACAAAAAMGTTATTTTTAAAAGGTCACATCTCTATTTTAATTCTTAATATATAGGGTGGTTTTCTCACATGCTTTCTCTACTTCCATGTCGTTTCAGTACTTGTTTGTGCAGAACATGAAACAAATAAAAGAAATCAGCTGATTGGGTCACTTTCTTGGGATTCCATAGAAAGAAGTTCCTCCCAGGTATAAGCACCTTGGAATCCTTGGAAGGAGTTTATGTACAGAAAAAATACACTCACTAAGCAGACCAGACTTCTGCAGTCYACTTCTCTGTGGTTTAGCTCTAACATAAGATTATTTAGCTGAGTAGTGCAATAACATACTTTTTCAAAGAAAACCACCTTGAGCATATATCTTAGAATTAATTTGTCAGKCTTGTAATTTCAAAAGAAATACTGCAAATTTTTGGAACAAGGAGAACACAATGCTTTTAATTCTGTTTTGAACATAAAAATCAAAGACAGTATGGGTCTTTGGTTTTGGATGATGATGCTTCTGGCTCTCATGTTTGCAAAATCCACTTTAATTAATGGCAGTTTTATAAAGTGAATGCCAGATGGTTGTTTGCCATAKGATGTTTTGGAAAAAATACAAACTCTGAACTATAGAGATATATGCAACTAGGGTTCAACAATAAAAATKCAGTCATGCAGTACCTTCTATCAAAATGTGCTTTATAGATTCTTATTAAGCTACCTTATTTCACAAAGATTTTTTTATTATGTTTAATAGCAGTCCCAGCAGCCTMAGAGACCTTCTCAAGAACATCCAAAAAGCAATATAAAAATAACTTATCAGTCCCTTTTCTGCCAGTGTTTCCACTCGTACCCGTAAAACATTTGCAAAGGTGATCAGCCTTTTTTTTTTATTTTTTTGTGTGTGTGTGTTAGCTGCAACTTAGCATTTTATGGAAGAGAACGTCCATGCAAAGCAGCTGCCATTCCAAGTCTACATCTTGGCACCGACATTACCATTTTTGCCAGTAAATTTAACGGATTCATTTTTGTTTAGGAAGTTAAAAAAAAAAAATCTTATTTTAATGGCGTAACAGCGAACTTATTTTGCATCAAGTGCTCCATGGGAGCACCACCCGGAGCAGCTCCCGCGGCACCGCCCCGCSCCGCGCGTGCGCACCGCGCCTCCCTCCCGCTAGCCCCGCCCTCTCCTGACGTCACCCGCGCTCTGCCCAATCAAAAGCCGCGGTTCCGGCGGCGCCAAAGCTGCGAAGGGCGGGCGCGGGCCAGGGGTTCCCTCGGCCCCGCCCCCGGGGCTCCCCCGCCACGTGACCGGGACGCGGCGCCGCGCCGGGGGCGATGCCCGGCGGGAAGGTACCGGGACGGGAGGAGAAGGGGCTCGGCCGGGCTGGGGGACGCCGCCCCGCAGGGCCGAGCCTTGGTGCTCCCTGCGCTCTTCGCGACGGCCTTGCCGTGCGCCCCGGCGGCCGGCTCAGCCGCGCCCCCCCGGCCCCGCTGCGAGGGGTGCCGGGGTGGGGGGCGGTGGCGGCAGAGCAGCAGCCGCCGCGCTGTCCCCTCGCTGCCCTTTCATATCCGGCTCCAAGGCTATGCCTGTGTTGGGGACCCGCCACGCTGGAACGTGGGGCGGGAACGCGGGGCGGGAGCCCGGGCCCTTCCCCGCGGTCCTGSTGTGCGCGGTTGCGCAACACTGACAGTGAAACTCAYCGCGGCACAGCTGCAGCGAGGGCASAGGGCAGCTCGGCCTGCTTAGACGGCATCGGGGAAAAAGTGCAGGGARAGTAAAACTCGAGAGGAAAAGAGTATTGTGGGAGTTGGCCAGGATTAGTACGGTTTGGAGCAGATTCGCTTCCCGGTGTGGGAATGCAGGGAGGAAAAGCGCCCCGTGCTGGTTTTCGGTGTTTTTCCTTTGGTAATTTGCATGTTCCCCGCAGGGTGGCAATTAGGATGTGCTGGCTCTAGTTAGCCGTGTTTATGCTAATATTGAGGTACTGCTGTAAGAAGTCCGAAATACAGACTTGACAAGTAGTTGACAAATGACAGATATGATTCTTCAAGCATTTGGTCTACAATGGTGTGAATGTTCAACTACTTTTTAAATATAAGTTCATTTAAAATAAGTTTTAATGGAAGAAAATGTTAACAGCAAGCTTAAAAATAACCTTCACTTAAATTACCTAGTGCTATACTTCAGTTAAGTTACCGTGTGATACTGACACTATGCATGTTTTCTTCTGAAAGGTTTTGAGTTCTTGACTAGTGAAAAACTGCACAGTTAACTGGAACAAGATTTTACCACCTCTTGTTGCAATGTGGTGACAGCTCTTGATAATAATAGTTTCTTTCGCTGACAAAGATAATGTTTCTTGTTACTTTGTGAATGAAAACTTGTACTGATCAAGTTAAAATTGATCAGCACCCTACTGCCTCACTGTTAATTAATTAAAAAACCCACACCAACCTGATATGTAAGAAAAACGTATGATACTGTTGTTATATCCTAAACATTTTGAATAGCTTCATTTTGTGTTKTATTCTTCAATAGTATTTTTATTCYRCRAGKGGCTTTTTTCAATGCAAGCATATAATAATTTATATGCTTTAAWAAGGATGTATGGGTTACAAAGTCCTGACATTTGATTGGTAATCTCATATATGTCAGTATTAGTGAGAATAGTCTTTCATTTGGTATAGTAAGAATTATGAGCACAAAGCAAGGCTTTAAAAGAGTGTTTTATAAGTTTCATCTCACATGTGAATAGCAATGGGAAAAGTATTTTGAGGTTTTAATTTGGTTTTAATATTTCTTTAACGTGCATACTGACAGTGGAAGGAGGTATGGTGTGGCAGGTTATCATTGCTGTCATTGACTGTGATCATGCAGTATAGATTTTTTTACGAATGATTAAACTTGATAAGGGCCTTTCTAGGGACCACGTGTGTTCTTGTAAATCATCTTTGGAAAATATGCACACTGATTTTCATAGGAGTAAAAACAATAATCTTAGCTGGAAAAAGATATAACTGTGGCTTTAAGTCTGCARCTTTTATTTAAATTCTCACTTGAGGATTTAAAATGCAGGATGTTTTCTTACTAAATAAAAACTTTATTATCTAGACACTGAAAACAATTATTACAGTTTCAGCAGCTGAATATCATGAATACTGAGTTTTGCTGAAGATGAGGTGCCTGTTGTCAAATTGAGTTTTGTACTATCTTAAAATTGGACTTGAGAAGGCCAAGACAAGCTAAAGTGATTTTAGTTATGGGTGCTTTTATGTGAAACCTTTGAGAACAAAGGTGAAAGATGAGGATGGCTGTTGGTCAGTGTTTGACATTTATGTACTTTTATGTGATTGTTCCCTTCAATTTTTTTTTAAACATGAACAGCCTCTGGAAACTAGAGCTGTGGTTTTCAATACTTTCATTCTACTCTCTTCAGGGAGAATATAACAGTTGTATTTGAATACTTTTGAGTGATGTTTACATGATGGGACTAATTTTTGGATGTGTGTGCCAGTAGCAAGAAGAGTTCATGTAGTGAAACATTTTATTACTAGTTTTATCCTTCAGCTTATTTTGCTATTTGTGTTAGAGAAGTTGATGGGTCAAAGAAATGCCTCTTGCATATGAGGTAGATAATGTATTGGATCATGCACTCCTGGGTGTTCTTCCCGTGGATTTTGGAAACAGCCCTGAGAAGGTGGGATTGTCTGGAGTGTAAAGAGCTTGTAGGGAATAACCTTTGTTGCATATGGTCCCAGTGACTTCATATGGGGTGTTTCTGGGTATCAAGTCTTGGACATAAGTAACCACACAGGTTGGTTGAGCAGGTAGGTAGGAGCATCTGTTTAAAAATCAAATCCAGCACCCCAGGCCCATACTCGCAGTAGTCTGTTGTTTAATCACTGTGCATGTTCACTGTGCTTCCCTCTTCCTCCTTCACACCTGCACCTGTGCAGKCTGACTTACCGTTATCTCACTGGAAATAACTAAAGGAACTATGGGCTAAGGGTTGCTTGCCATGCCTTTTATGAAGAGGGGTTGATCCTTATTCCATGGATGCTAACAGGATTGAGTCAATTTTTTTTTCCACTCATTTAGAAGGAACTGCTCCCGAGACAAAATGCAATGCTTTTGTGAACAGAGGCAATTTGTATATGAGGTAGCCATCCTACTCTTCCCTTTTTAACTCAACATTTCAGAGGTCATATTTTGTCTTCTGACACCCTACACAATTCACAAGGTTCTTTGTCTGACTCTGTGTTGTAATAAATTTTGATTTTATGATGTATGCCAGGTCTACATGCTCTAGCTCTTTTGAGCTTGTTTTGATGATTTTTTTTAATTCCAATACCTCTTTAGACACGTCATGCATTCTTTTAATAAATTACACAAGTTATTTTTTTGTGTGCCCCATTTTTATTTCAGATTAAAAGAAAGAGGTGATTAACCTTGTGACTYGTGACTAAAAGAACTCACAGTTGTTGCTGCATTTCTTTGGGAGCAGCACAGCCTTCAGATTAGCTTAATTTATAAATATTTATTCCTGAGAAGTAAGTTTCTTAAAATATTAGTTTTTCTGCTGCCTTGAAGCAGTCTGGAGCAGAAGCAAAGAGCCTTTAAAACTTACCCTTTCTGCACACCAGCATATGTATTCCTGTGGCAGAAGTMCTTGGACACCCCACTCTGTCCCAAGGTGGCTTTGCAGGGGAAGTGCTGTCCCCAACATTGGCACCGTCCCATCTGGTCTGAAGGCGAAGAGCCAAACAGAGGCCCTGCAGGCTGCTGTCAGCTCCTTTGCACCTGCTCCCAGGCCCTCTCAGTAACTGTGGATTGAAGCTATAGGTTCAGTTTCTTGAATTCACATCAGGTATTTACATGGAGATATTTAAATTGACAAGGGGCTTGGGATGGGGTAATTGTCTTTTGGGTTTCTTCTTTTTTTTCAGTTTTTTGAGGTGATCTAGGGTGTGGGAAATGGTGGCAAAATATTTGTATTGAAAGCACAGAACTCAAAGCCATTGTTGTCAATATCAACAATCAAAAGTCCTTCTCTTTTGCTTCTCTCCAAGTGATGTCTGCCAGAAATTAGCAGTAGCTGAGGAATATCTGGAAAGGATGTATTTCTTTGCWTCTTTGGTTTGGGACTTCAGGGACTGTATTCAGGTTTTCTCAATGATTGAAGTGGCTTTAAATTTCTCTGTGGTGGTAGCAAAACTCTCAGATTTTCTTGAATCTGGGGAGTAGGATGCATGGGGAAACAAAGAATTAATTAACCAGAACTGTCAGCARTACTGATGGTTCTTCAGGCTGTAAWTAAGTTGACATGGTRTCAAGCAGCTGCTGGAGTGGGCCCACTGATTCCTGTATCTTTGCTGCTGCACCAGCAATATATAACCAGTGCTTCTTCCCRAAGAAGTTTTCTGACAGTTTGGTTCATTGTTGCTGTATTTGCACAGAGTCTGGTGAGTGGTAAGTGCTCGGAAGGAAGAAGGGGACAAGGGAACTCCACTCTAGTGCTGCTCTGAAAACCTGAACAGCCCTGCCTTTATTCAGGCTAATAGAGTGCAGGATTAAATAAAACTCTTCTGTTGTTCTGTCATTTATTATGAAAACTCTTTTGCCTATCACGGCCGTGACTGTCTAGTGCTCTGAATCTCAGTTGTTTAAAAGTCTCTACCAATGCCACGTCACATTGCACTCTAAATAGAAGTGTAACCATTTAAGCATAAACCCAGGTATTTGTTCTGTTTATATTAGTCTGCTTTTTTAAGCTTGTCACCTGTAAGCATGTCTTTTCTGCATGCACCCTAAACTTTCTTACTTAGGGAGAGGGAGTTTACATGTAGCCTTTATGCTGCTGATTTTTATATGGTGTTYCCTTGGCAAATCTTGGCAGTCGTGCAGCAGCGGCTGTGTTTCAGCTGCCACATTCTGCTGTTCATCCCCTGCCTCTATGTCATGCTTTTTCTTTGTTCCACTGGAATTGTACAGTACTGAGAAGTAGAGGTTTGCTGTCTGTCAGKAAATGTCTTTAAAAATGACTTTAAAAATAACATGAGAAACTTAACAGAAACTCCCTATTCAAAACTCCCTATTCTGTGTTTAAGCAGCTTCCTAACAATAGTAGTGTATTATGAAGCCTTCATGCAAGCTTTGTGCATGCATTTATGTGCATTTCTTTTTCATTTATTTGCAACCATTTCTGCTTATCAGAAAGATAAGACCATCAAAAGTGGTGTGCTGTAAATCTGYTTGCAAGCTGTGGTGCTGCTGTCAGCACAGACTCACTTTTGCAGAACTCCAGTTCCTCAAAACTGGAGCATCTCATTAAAGAAATAAGCTTAGATGAACTGTATTTGATACTGTAAGTCTTCACCTGCAAAATGTATCTCACAAAAATCTGGAAGCTACAAAACCAGGCATATAAGCAAGACTCCCAGCACTAAGGTTAAAAACCAGCAGAAACACTTGCCAAGAGGACAGACTAATGTAGAGGTTCCTGTCTAAGCACTCTGGAAATTAAGGGTTGGGCCAGTATCTTCACTGGGAGGGAAGCAATGTTTAAATTCTCATTGTGTTGTGATGTTAACCTTTTTTGTTAAACTGCTGCAGTCTCCTTACCTGACATCATGTCCTTATTAAAATGCTGTTGATTGTGGATTTAATACCACCTCAGATTCAAGGTCATACGTTTCATATATCTGTGGGAGTGGTTATGGGGACAGTTCGGCTTTTGATGATAATGAGTGGTTGCTTTGAGTTGTAAGTAGCCCCAGCAGGTTTAGAAGAGGCTTTTAGCAGGCTCTGTTACCATCAGTGGAAGCTGCAAAGCTCATTTGTTTTCCCCTGTCTTCTTGCCATACACAGCAGGACTGTCTGACTAGAGGGGTGAAGTAAGATGCTGCTCTCTGTGCACTTTTGGAAACTGCTTGTTTCATTCTCAAGAGCTGGAAAACAAATGGAAACSAAATATGCACTGCCATTTACAAAATGGACAAAAAGTGCCAAATRCTTGTGCTATAAGGCAGATGTTGTGATTCTTGGGGCTGTGCAGGGTCAGAAGTTGGACTTCCATGATGCTTGTGGGTCCTTTCCAACTCAGGACATTCTATGATTCTACTTTTTGTTTTTTTACTGCACATATGTGTGATGTGTATGTTACAGTCCTGATAGACCAGCCTGCCTGAAGATGTGTGTGCTGATTAACTATGGAGTAATAATTGTTTTTAGGTAGGAACTGTAGTTGCTTGAGAGTAGGTATATCAGAAGATGAAGACATATTCAGATAGATGATATAGTCAGCATTTTCTAAGATAAGTTTCAGTAGCATAGTAGGATAAGATGTTTATCGTGTTCAATTTCTGTGTGTAAACTGTTGAATCTGAGAGMTAGCTTTGGATGTGATAACAGGCAAYTCTCCTATCTTCAGCTGTTTTCAGATGTTAGTCTCTTGCATGAAATTAACATTGGATGCTAATCAGCATCCTGTTTCATGACTTATCTAATAATACAAATGACTTCCGGCATCCAGTGTAAGGGGAAGGCAACATTTTTGGTGGGGAAATGGTTATGAAAATAAATGTAGTTCTTACAGCCAAAAGAGGCTGGGTATTTTGGTTGCTTGGTTATTTTTTAATGGTGAACTGTATAGTGATATCTAGTTTGATCTCCTGCATAAACAAAATTAAATCAGATTAAATATGACTTTGAAGGCRTTATTTAGTTAAAGTAATTTAGTTGCTGTATTACTTTAGTTAAAGTATTTAGTTACTGAGCTGTTTCTGTGTAATGTTTGCAGCTTGACTAAGCAGTTGTCAGCTACTTCGAGATGTAACTTAGACCAATAGAAAGTTGGTCTTATCAAAAACTAAATGTATTCATTACATTGGTGGYGGTATTATTATTTAATGCTGCATAAAAGATGCTTGCAAATGTTTGAGACTTTTTTTCTCCCAACTCATTAAAAATTGGAATTTGTTTATAAACGTTCAGAAAATACTAGGGGCAATCTAGATTAAGTTAATTTAATTTGAAATTTATTATATCTGCACAGTGTTTTTAATGGTCTTGTTTCTCCTTTTTCTAGCGGAAGAGACTTTGGAATGCAGAACACACACCATTCCCAGATGAGACACCCCTACAACTGAAAAAATCAAATGTCAGGACGTCAGTGTCTGCTACTTCGATTTCCAATGCGTGGCTTAGGTGTGGYGATGGTTTTAAGAACACTTCAGTGCTGGAGGTAAAATGCTGCCTTAGTTGTGTAAGGAGGAGATGCAAATTGACAGTGAATTTCTATGCTTGACTGAATAGTATGTTACCTTTTGGAGTTGTTTCCAAACTAACAGAATATTGTTACAACTGTCAAAATAGACAAAAAAAAATGGAAAGCACAGTTACATAAGGACATTGTCTTAACTTGTTTGTGTAACTTGCTGAGCATATATTAATATGTTGTGTTCTAGATAGCAGTTATCACTTAGAAAATATGCTGAAGGATGCAAAAATAATTTGACATTTGGGGTGGAATGCTATATTTGCTAAAAAATATGGGACAAAAATACTGTAGTTTGCATCTGAAGATCTTTTTTTAGACCTAAATAATGTATTTGCAATAGTGAATTAAGTGTAGAAAATCCTGCCAGATCATGAGCAGAGGTGTTCAGCTATCTCTGAGTAAGAAGTGTTTTGTGCTGAAAATTGTTACCAGCCAAGTTGTTTTTCTGTTTCCTCTTCTGGTGCTGAGCATTCACAGTGTTGCGTAGTTTATGGGAAGTAGTAAAATCAGAGACAGGGTGACCAAGTACTTCTTTCTGTAACTTTTCAATAGTGCACGTGCTTTATCAAGCATGCTGTTACTACCCTCTTTTGACATTTTAATGCTGAAAATACTGGCTCTTGTTTTTCTCAAGATCACTTGTGATTTCTGCTATAGTCACAGTAAGTTAGTRTTTTCCAAATTTATGAAAATTCAGRTTTTATGTTACTGTTCTCATGCTTTAATACCTCATTCATTATATCACAGTCTTGTAAAAGATTTTAAAATTAAAGGGAAATTKATCTGCTGAGCTTTGGTGGGTGAATAACAACAGATTTGAGTATCTTGATACATGTTAAAATTATTTTAATGTCTTAGTGATTGAATCTCTCTCTCTTTTTAATGTAGTCCCAGAGACTTGTTAATAAGAAATCCAGGATTAAGAAGCATCTAGGACCACTGTTAACATCTGCTGAAAGTGCATCTAGTATGTTATCATTTTTTCCTGTTRTCATTGTCAGAATATTGTTACTTTGTTTTGTCCTATATTAAGGGAGAAGTTGACTCGAAATATGGGTTGCTTTCTTCTTCTGTTACTGCAATTCGAAGCTGATTTTTATAAGATACACAGTCTGTTGCTATTGTGCTTGGGCTTTTTTATTCACTTAGAGTGCCAGAAGTTTATTCTGCAAAGCTGCAGGCACTCAGCTGTTGCTTTTGAACAGGTGAAAGAAGCATTACTGATGCYGTATATGCTGTGTATTATAACAAGGATGGGATATTTAAATCCTTCACATTTTTATCAGRAGGGAATGAAAAATAGCTCTTAGCTGTATAGATTGAGGGTGAAATTATTCTGTCTTCTTCTAGACAAATAAGCAGACCTGAGAGAACACACATTTGGTAAATATGAGCAGTAGATTGACAAAATTCTGTTTTTCTATCTCCTGCTTTTACAGTCTTCTGTATGCCCCCAAGTTGCTTAATATTGTCATTAAAGAAAAGAACTCTTGGCAGAAAAAGGGGAGGAGGACTTACTGATTTTCCAGTTCTTTCCTTTTTTTTTATTTTTGGGTCCAGAGGGAAGGAAAGAAAGAAGGGGTAGTATTCTTCAGTCTGTATTTCTGCTTGYTCCAGCAGCTGTGCTGCTTCTGTTGGATGTAAGTAGGTGACCTACTGGGCACTTTTTGCTTACSTTTTCAGGTTCTAGCTTTTCTAGATTTCCAAGAAGAACCTCTCTCTGTTGGAGGAGATGTGGTTGTGTTTCTTTCTTCTGTGGCCTTCTTCCTAATTCCAAATCCCCAGTAGTTGTCTAAATTCCCATTTACTTAAAACATTTTATTAGTAGTAGGAGGTGGAAAATTCTGCCTTCCTATGATTGCTAGTGCTGTATGCTCCATGCTAAGCATGAATTTTTTTCTCCTTGCTTTAGTTATTAAAAATGATGCGGAAAGGTATTTGAATTAAGATGTCTTACTTCAAGGCACAACAGCTTGATTTTGCAATACCTGAGAAGTCTGGGGTTTTTTTCTCTCAGGAGAAAACTGGAGAGTAATCTCTACTGATGGAATACTTTTATTCCTTTGTTATTTGTTGGRTAAAGCCAGAGAGTTCCCAAATCCACAATTCTAAAGACAGTCTTTCTTTAAATCACTTAGCATTTCACAAGTGTACATGCGGGGGAGTGGAGGAGTGTTAGGACTGTGTAGGGGGACTAAATGTCAGACAGTCATGACTTGTCCTCATTCTGCTGAAGGACACAGTATATATACTGTTTTTTATACTGCATTGTATAAAATGAAATGTTTGCATTTACTGGGGAGAACTAAACTGAAAAGAATGCATGCATATGTAAGAAATACATGTGAGTTAATGCTTCAGTAGTAATCTGATGCCTAGTAACAGAAGTGATAATTTTGCCTTTTAAAATAGTACAGTTTAATTTTTAATACTTTTAAATTTTAAATCATTGCATTTCTGTTACAATCTAACACTTGTCAATACTTTCTATAGGAGCTGCTGCTGCTGCTGAAAGCTCTAAGGAAGCTGAGGACATAATATGGACCTCTAGTGGCAGTGATTTTTCAGATGATGAAAATAAAACATTGATTCCAAGGCTGCACAGCAAAAAAAGTGACACTTCCAAAACAGAGGAATCGCCTAGCAGACATGATTTATTGGTAGAGGACAGAAGTAGTGAAGGTGAGTTGAAATGTAAGATTTAACAAGAAACCTTCTGTCAGTTTCAAGTACTGTAATGAAAACATCCTTGAGGTCATTCTGACAAAATGACATGATCTATTCCTATTTTGGTTAAATCAGTTGGAGGTTCAGGGTTTTTCATATAAATTTTATCTGGGTATAGAGTAAGCACTTAATAGAAATTATGTACAAAAACTTTAAACCTTGGTATAAAGGAACACAGTTGTCTGCATCTACTGACTACATACAGCAGACTTTRCAGCTGCAGATAGCATAATCTTCTGTGGTGTGCATTTTCATTTTGGAACACAGTATTCCTTGCTTTCCCTGTTAGCTGCACTGCGTGAGCAGCCATAAGCTTAGTTCTTAAAACTTCCTTTCTAATTCATGGAGCAGGAAATGACAGAGGGGAGAGAAATTGATTTAAAAGTACAGCTGGAGACAGCAAAATCTTTGCTTATGTGCTCTATTATGTAAGTGTTAATTAGGATAATGTATAAGTTGTTTTGGAACTTGTTAGGAAGTCTTAATGTAAAAAATAAGGTTAACTTTGTAATACTTCAGCTAGATCTGAAATATTACAGTTAGACTGGATCCTGGATGTCTGATAAAGAATTCAAACAGTGCTGCAAGCTGAGCAAATGGGTTGACTGGTGACGTATTGTTTTGTGTGTGATAGTTAAATATGCTCCTGAAGTTTAAAACAAAAATGCAGAATCCTTCTCCTTTCATCTGTATTTTTATCATCTATATAACACTGTCATTGACATATCTGATAATTACATTTTGTAATTCCTAGTAATATTYTTCTTTTTGAAAAGGAAGGACTGTTCTTTTTCTAAACTGCARTCTGTTGCTGATTAGGAATTTTTCTAACCTACCATTAATATCATTCACTTGTCCCCTGCAAGTATATCCTGCAGGTTTTAATCTTCCTTTTGTTTTTTAAGAGACAATACACAGGCTTATTTTTATCTTGTAAGTTAGCAAAATTTGATTCCTCTGTGTAACTGAAGAAACCCTGATGTGTTATATATCTTGAAGGTTACTGAGAAAATCCAATAATTGCCATGTTTTTCTTCTAAACACAAAAATATCTTGAAAGCAGTGGGGAGTAAAAGAACTGTAATTTCCATGTGTTTTGAAATAACCATCATACACACTAATTTTAGCATTGTACACAGTGTGTCTCTGTGTGTGTGCATATATATGTGGGGCGACAGTAGGTCAAAAGTGTTTTTGAAAGTGATGTTCCATTTCACATAAAGTTCACTTTGCGAGGCACAGTGTCAGTATTTCAGTGTGACAAGATAAAACAAAGTGCCTTGTATTTTATGAAGGAATTTGTACCGTTATCACAAGTTACATGCAACTTGTCACACAGCCTCAAGAGAAACCTCTTTGTGCTGCCTGGTTGCTGATGTCTATGTTTAAAACTTCTGATRAAGCTTCCTTGTAGTCAGAAACAGAAATGCAGTAATGTGTGTGAAAAARGAGGCAATACTATAGCTGTGTGTTTATTTGTCTGGGTGACTTCAGAGTTTGGAAGTTCAATATAGAAACTAGTAGAATCTAGATTTAAATTATAGTAGCAATGCTGAGTACAGAAGGTACTGCCACAGTTCCATGGATATGTACAGTGCCTGGAGCACTGTGCAGGTGCATCCTTTCTCTGCTGCCTCTCCCCTGTACATGACTATTCCACTGTTAGAAATATGACATTTACAAAAGCAAAAAAAGCARCCCCCMAAAAAGCTYTYRTTCCTTCTCCTTCAAAYRTGCTCATTTGCACAAAATATATTGAAATTATCCCTCTCAGTACCTTGTGGCCCTTGGACCTAAATAATGGTGAGGGTGCTGCTGCAGCTCAGATTTCCATGGGCTTCAGTAGATCCTGGGAGTTACAAATGGACTTCTGGAGTTGCATTAAATACCACGTGGTCATGAAGATGGTAGAAGAAAAGTTCTGCCTTTCTGTCTGCATCTCTTTGTTTATTGCTATTGCATTGTGGGTTTGCTTGGGGCTTTTTCATTTGTTGTTTTTTTAGCTCCATCTTATGCTATTAATTCATCCTCAACAATTCTCTCTTTGATGTGCTTGCAGATTTGATTTGCAGACCTGTGTACTTAGGCATGGTGTTCTAGGCAATGACATTTCAACTAGCTTTTTCATTCCTCTGTGAGGGTCACCCGTAACAGCAAATGCTGGTTAACGCTGTTTAAGATAYTTGCTTAGAACAGTTAATTCTGAACAAGCACACTTGGAAAATCCAATGCAACTGGGCAAAAAAGCCCCTAAGTAAACCAGGGGAAAATTAATAATACCTAAACTGAAAAGAACACCCTGCCTATCTGTGCAGTTGAATGTATGAGAGTACTTTGTGTGTGTATGTAATTTTTATCTTTCTTCATAGAACACTTTCTGCTGGTAGSATTTAGCTTTGATGAGACACAAAATACTTAAAGATCAGTTGAATATAGGTAAAAAATAATATTGCAATTTCCCACCAAGTTCAGGATAGCTGTAGTATTACTTTGACTTTATTCTTATCATAGATGCTGATTAAGAAAAAATSTTACCAATATTCTATTTTAGATGAATTGGAGCTCATCAGCTGGGAGAAGGATAGTGATTCCACTGATGGGTGTGATGGATCAGAAAAAGCTGACAGCTCAGTAGAGATATCAGACTCAGACTCTTGCACAAATACTAATTGTCTGCCTGTGAAAGAGGAGAATGATGAGTTTTGTAAGGTAAGAAACTGTTCTAAGTTTAAAAAAAAAAGTTGCTGCTATAATTATGGAATGTATTCATATTTGTTTGCATTTGAATTGGGGTAACGTGAGGATTTTACTTACCTTATTTTTCTGAAAAGAATTCTGTACACAAGAATTTCAAGGCATTTTTTTTTGACTGGCAAATGTCAAAACCAAGCAGTGCCCCTCACACAGAGCTCAGTAATGTGGTCACTGGATCACAGGGTGAATGAGGTGGAAAGGCACCTCAGGAGGGTGTCTMGTCAAACCTCACTGCTCACAGCAGGGCAGCTGAAGCTGGCTCTTCCAGGGTGTGTCTGGTTGGGTTTTGAGTATGTCCAATAGAAGAGACTGCACAACTTCTCTGGGYAACACATGCCAGGGCTTGGTTACCCTTGCAGTAAGGCAGCTTGTTCTTATATTGAAATTGCATTTCTTGTATTTCAATGTGTATGCAAAAAGTCATCAGGTGGGTGGGTTTGGATGACCACATCAGTCACCAGAGATGTGGTCATCTGGACTCTACAGTCCCTAGCTGCCTGTGAGAAACTGATGCCCAAATTTCCTATAGTGTGGAGGGTGAGAGACCATTTCCTATTTCTCTTTAGTGCTTTGAGACCRTGGGTATCTAAAAATGCAGGTATTGGGAATAGAGCATGATGAGGTAAAGACTTCATGCAGGATTCCCTTTCCAGTCATGARGATTGSAGAGCTCCAGAAAGASAAAGCAGTAAGAACTGAATCTTACTGGCTAAGATGTGGTAGCTASTTTTAATTTTTTTCCTGCAGAAAATGTAAGTTAATTTCTAAAGAATGTATTCTATGTCAACTACAGGTCTTTAGTTAATATCTTACAGTGAAATGATCTATGTGAAAAGACTGAAGTGACAKTACCCTAGGCCAAAGTAACATTTGAAATGGGCTGCCCAGRGTCRCTGTCCCTGGMGGTGATCAAGSAAAGCCTGGGCATGGCGCTTAKTGCCGTGGCTTAGTTACCGTGGTGGTGTTTGTTCAGAGGTKGGATTTGATGACCTCRGGGGTCGTTTCCAGCCTGACTGTCTCTGTGAYTCTGTGATTTACCCTCTCCCTGGAGCTGGGGGCTGGTGCCGCACCGGCAGCACCGCGCCGGCAGCGCTCCCCGGAACGTGGAAAAGGCCGCAGCCGGCACGGGCAGAGCGGAGGGGCCGGGCTGGGACCCCCGGGGGAGCYCAGCCGGGGGAAGGGGCTGCGCTCSCCTKGCAGCCGGGAAGCATCGGCCGGAGGATGTGCGGGTGTCGGAGCGCCGGGAGCAGCCGGGGATCCCTGCTGGAGCAGCCCGGCAGAGGGCAGCGCAGGCCCGGGAACCGCGGCCGGCAGGGGCCCTCGGGACGGGGAAGGCTGGTAGCAAAGTGGATTAAAGCCTAATTAAAACTTGGTTATGTATCGGTTCTCTACTAAAATACCCCGAGTGAGTGACGGGGAGTCCTGCTCGCACAGGAGGGAGAGCAGCCTCCGGTTTCCCAGGAATCAGCCCCGCCGCAGGGTCCGGCTGCCTTGCTGGGGCTTCAGGGTGGGACGGTGGCTCTGTCCGCTGCCTCATCCCACAGAAGGACACCGGGGGGATGGAGCGTGTCCAGAGAAGGGCAGCGGAGTGGGAAGGGTCTGGAGCACGAGTCTGAGCAGCAGCAGCAGCTGAGAGAGCAGGGGGGTATTCATCCTGAGGAAGAGGAGGCTCAGGGGAGACCTTATTGCTCTCTACAAACATCTGAAAGGAGAGGGTAGCCAGATGGGGTCGGTCTCTTCTCCCAGGACGTGAGCGAGTGGGCAAAAGAAATTGGCCTCAAGCTGTGCCAGGGGAGATTCAGGTTGGGCATCAGGAAGAATTTATTCACAAAAGGAGTGATCAGACATTGGAATAGGCTGCCCACAGATGTGGTGGAGCCACCGTCCCTGAAGATGTTTAAGGATGTGACACCTAGTGTAGTGATCTAATTGACAAGGTGTTTTTTGGTCATAGTTGGACTCGATATCTTGGAAGTCTTTTCCAACTCAATTGRTTCTGTGATTCTGTGAAGCAGTGAGTCTGGCTGTGGCAACACGTGTGATCCAGCTCTCCTCAGGCTCCTGTGGGTGTCAGTCCTGCTCTAGCATCTGTAGCTCAGAGTTCAGCGAGGGTTGGTCAAGTGTTTTCAGGTTTGTGAGGAACTTATTTTRTATAGCCTGAGTCCCAGGCTGCAGCGTCAGAGGAGACTGCACAGTTTGGATAAAGCAGTGGAAACAGAATTGAGATTTTTGCAAGTGGTAAAAGTTGTCCTGTTTTTATTACACCAGAATGGCTTATCTCAGTGTACATGGAAAGTTAAATGTTATGAGACATGTTCGTATTAGTAAATGGTGCCTATGAGAGGGTTTTTTGGGATGTAACCATACTGTAATAAAGTTTTAAAATCTAACCGGAATAGATTGTTATGCTGGTGCAGAAAATGTGGGTACATTGGGARTCTGAGGTTATCTCTACAGATTTCCTTTTCCCCCATCCTAGCTAAAGTGCCAGACTTGTGGGAATTTTCCTAGGTGGTCACCCTGACCAAAAAACTTTCTTCTGGGAATTCAGTGTATGAAGGAGGGTAAATCCCCAGTGATTGCTCTGCCTGTTACAGTCTTTGTTTTGCTTTACTTGGGATATGCTGTTTTCCTAGGAAAAAACTGCAGGCAAACTGAGAGGTTTCCAAGAGAGAATAGAAAAGTGCTGTTCACGAYAGGAGGTCATTTGCTCTATGAGTATTCTTTAAAAAGGCCTGTTCATTTTGTGGCCTAGTTCATAGTGAGGGAAGGGAAAAAAAAAGCCAAATGTTGATATATCATCATTTTTGTGGTATTTACTAAATATCTAGAATCTAATAGAGTGTGTGGGTAATCAAAAGACCATGAAATTTATTTTACCCCACTTCAAAATATGCCAAATACCAAGAGCTTCTGGAGGTTTAGGATTACTGCCAAAATATCTTTATGGCAGTACTTACTCTTGGTAGGAGTGTATTAGGTTTCTGCTGGGCAATCTCAGAAGATTAATAACTATGGCTTCCCTCCCCCCCCTTATATACTAATATAGCTAATTTAAAAATCACTTATATTCAGTGATATTTAACTACATAGAAAAACTTCATGTATTGTTTTGGTTGGAAGGTAAGATTCTTCCTTATCAATAGGCTGTAAAGCTGCAGTCACAATTCAGTTTACGTTCCAAGTCCTTGAGCTGTGCCTTTCCTATTAACTATCCACTTCTGATTTGTAAAGCTGCTTGATAGCAGATAATGAGGAACGCAAGTTGAAGCTAGTCTTGTGGTGAGCAGCTAATTTTTGTCTTCAGAATTTTTGGAGAAAGCATGTGCAAGATATGACAGAGTCATGCTTTACTTTCCTTTGGCTCTTTTTAGGGGATGGGAAAGTTATTTTATATTAGCTTTCATTTGACCTATAAGTGGTTGAATTTTTGCTTAAAATGATGCAGGGCAAAGATCTGACAAGACCTGATTCCAGATTGTTCTATTCTTAGAATTCCTTGACTTTCAGTTGCCAGTGGTGGATACTTAGGGGAACTTTATTCTTGGAGAACATGGTACTAAACTAAAGAATAACCATTAATACTAGTTTTTCAGCCTACATGTTYTCCAGAAGAGCACCATGTAATCACTTCAAAATTGAAAAACTCCATATTTTTATGCATTAGTAGTGACCAATTTTTACCAAACTTGTGCAGAAACTTTTTGTCTGATGAGCTGAAGTTCCATATTTTGTAAGAACTGTTTATCTGTGAATTATTTTTATCTTCKTAATATTTAAATGSTAGGAGTTAMATGAAAACATATGATYTTACAGATTAATTCAKGTCTCCTGCCATACTGCCTCTGAAGCTGGGGACTTTCTGTGGCCCTATGCACTGAGTGGCATCATCTTTCCCTCTTGAATCCTTCCTCAAAACACTTAATCCCTTAAAATAGACCAACACTTTTATGGAGTATATCATTTTGGTATCTTACAAGAGTAGGGTCTTTTCTTTGTGTCCTGTATGTTAAATCCATTTTATCAGTTTCTGATGGGTAGCCAGATGTGCTTGTTTTATATGTGGAGCAAGTGATGTAACCCCAGAATGGCGTGAGGAATTAGTCTTATGTATTTACTGTGTAGCATGAATAAAGCTTAACTGGTTACAGCAGATCCTCTTTATTGTACAACACACTAATCAGTGCAGTAGACACTTGTCTGCTGATCTTCTGATTTGRGTGAAAATCCATCAAAAAGTCACATGGTTAAGAGCTTGTTCCATTTAAATCTTAGAACYRKAGAATGGTTTKGGTTGGAATGAAAATTAAAGATCATCCAGTTTCCAAACTCCTATTATGGGTGGGGACACCTTTCACTAGACCAGTTTGCTCAAATCTCTAKTCAGCCTGGTCTTGAACACTTCCAGAAGTGGGACATCCACAACTTCTCTAGGCAGCATGTTCCAGTGTCTCACCACCTTCAGAGTAAATYTTTTTCTCCCTAATATCTAATCTAAAGGTGCCCTGATTCAGTTTGAAGCCATTCTTCTTTGTGCTATTGCTGCAAAACCTTGTACGAAGTCCTTTTCCAGATCTCTCATAGGCACCTGGTAGGGATTGGAATACATAGGGGCCTCCAAACTGTTATGCAGATACACAGTAAATCTCTTTTTCAGTTGCCTAAGTGTTTCAAAACTCTTAAATAAATCCCTACCACATTCTCAGCTCTCTAYTGTGTTGCAGTCTGTGTGCCCTGACAGTGATCTGATGTGATACTGAATATTGTGCAAAAATTATTTTAATGTTGTGCAAGAGGTTTATTTTTGGGTTTTCCCTGTGTGARGAGTGCATTATTTTAGAAGTTCTTCCTGCATGGCTGTATGTAGGTCYCTGTCTTTTACCTGAGGCCTTCTGATCTTTCAAATTAAGGTTCATTCAGTTGCTTAGTTCATGGATTTATTACTGTCTTAACCT